AGTTGAACCACAAAATAATCTATGAAGGACATTAAAAAAAAAAAAAAAGATGTTTTACCAGATGTTGATCCCTCTCTTTCCCCAAAATCTGATTTTCACACTTTTAGAAATCTTGACACAGAGTTGAACCACAAAATAATCTATGAAGGACATTAAAAAAAAAAAAAAAGATGTTTTACCAGATGTTGATCCCTCTCTTTCCCCAAAATCTGATTTTCACACTTTTAGAAATCTAGCTTTACACAGCATAACTGCTAAATGACATTTAAATGGACTCTACAGCTACACAATCTTTTATTATGAAGATCTCACCAATATCATTTTAGGGAAAGTTCTACATTGTCAGTCATTTTACAAAACAATGAATAAGTGGCTGTTATACAGAATCTATGTAACTTTTTCATAGTAGTGGTCATATTGTGAAAACATTGTGCCATATGTATACCCAACACAAATCAAAACATGATACCGGGTTGCATGGAAAATACTTTTCTTCACCTCATTAGTGCTTGCCTTGCTATGATGAGTGATGTAAGAAATACAGTTAAATCACAAACATTTATTAGAAATCACTTGTTATATCCCAATTATCAGTACCACAACTTCTTCCATTGTTATGCAATTTGGAGATCAAAGTTCTGCCTCTCTTCTTCACTGAAACCTAAGTTCTGTTAGTATTTGAAAAGTCAGTGCAGTAGTAGCTGGTTTCAGTGAAAATTGTGTTTAGTTGAATGTTTTAGGCTCCTGATTTAATCTTAATAAATAAAAATCACTAGCTTTACCGAATCATCATTGACCGGACCATTGTATTCCATCTAAGTAACAACATTCATGAAAAAGACCACTTATAATGTGTTACAGTTACATGGAAAGGTTTAGCCTGACTGATGTCATCTTGGAAATAGTGTTCTGAAAAGAACTAAGTAGTTCTAACTTGTTCCTTTGGCCAATTTTTAAAGTTTCTAGCAATTCCCTAAATAATGCTACATTGTAATACAAAAATAAAGCACTTTGTGTAAGTGAATACATATAAATCTGTTACTGTATTTTCTTGTGTGAAAAGTCAGGGGTTGAATACAAATGCATTATGCATTCTGGGGAAAAATATTAAATACTAGCAGGAAATCTTACTGAACAACTATTTCTACCACAACATAAACTGCTAACTCAATAGGATTCTCCTTTTATTTAAAATTTAAAAAATATTGGTTCTGACACAAAATTTTGAATTTATATCTTTCTTCTTGATGTATATGTTATGTTGAATTATATCTACCACAACAGTGCATTAACTGAAAAGAGAGCATAAAAGTTGCTTCTATTTGCCTATCATTCAAATTGTAAATGAAGCATGAATTCCTCAATAAGATAAGCACTTAAAGATGCCTATGTACAACCGAGTTGGATCTGAAAAGACCTTTCATTATATATGAGAACCAGCTAACAAAATTAGTGAAGAGATAGTTTTGCAAAACTCTGAACAGAACTAATGTATGGAAAGTAAGAGTTTTGCACATTTGCAAAAATTCCTGGGATGTGAGACATATCTCTAATGGCTATCTAAGCCAAAACATGTAAAACAACTCGACATAATACAAGAAGCAGATTAAATCTGTTTATATTTTTACTGGATTAGAGAGGTAAACTCTTGTCAGGTCAAGGATTTTAAATTGTATACAAGTCTCTCACAGTCTTGCTTTCTTCTCTCCCAGCTACAATGGTAATTAGTAGGACCCATGTAGTTATCCATTAGAAGAGTCTATGAAAAATGAAAAGAATGCTCTAACTGTCCTGAAGGTTTCACTCCAGAATTGAACAGTTGTTGGTACTCAGCTCTTTGGTGGGTTTCTTTTTTTTTTTAAATATAATTTTATTGAAAGTTTTAAAAACAAGAGTAAAAAATTAATACAAATTAAAATAGAGTCAGAAGGAAAAAAGGAAGAAATAAAAGAAAGCAAAGTACAAAAAGAAAAAAGAAAAGAAAAAAAGTAGAAGAAAAATAGAAAAGAAAAGGCATATAAAGAAGTGACTTCCAATCTTCTTTACAGCAGTTATAAGTGCAAGTATAGATTTACCTCTCTCTCTAAAGTTACATTATGACTCTCTTCTTTCTATAATCTATCCTATCTAATTGTCAAAATCATAGATCATAAGTTCATTTTTTTCTGTTTTACGCAAAAGGTCCATAAGGGGTTTCAACTCTTTGGTGGGCTTCAATGGCAGATCTGAGTGGGTTATCTTAGTGGTGTCACTGATTCCAAGTCTGGGACTAAAAAAGGTTAAAAAAAGACAAGATGGTTGCCACAATTGCATGTTTGAAGCCCTGTCTCCTTTAGACCTGTGTTGCACACATGACCCATATAAAAAAAGGGGTAGGTCTTCAACTGCACAGTCACAGTTGCCATCTTAGTTTTTTTTTTACTACCCTTGTAGACACCCCTGTTCCTAACAATAGTCATTTCCTGAGATAGCATTCTAGAAATTGAGGAGACATCAGTAAGCATCAGAGTACTGTGAAAAAGAGAGGGGTGGCTGCTGAGTGGGTGAGAATGTTTCTTAAAGAGGGCATGGGGCAAAGAGCAACTATGGATCTTGTCAAGATACTCCCAGGAACTGTCTGAGAATGTTAGGTGTTGGTAACAAATATGCCACCATAAAGACACCATAATTTATCTAATCATAAGTGGACTAATATACCATTATCGGCATTTCAGATATTTGCTATTGCTGCTGAAATGTAGAGTTCATGTTTTTCTACCATTTTGCTGTTACCTATTAGAACCAAATCCAATACAAGATATATATTGTTGCTATGTATCCCCAACAATGCATTTCAGGATAAGGTACTTTTGACCATTAAAGTGTGTGATTGAATATTTTGCAGATTCTTTCTTGGCATCTCCAAAGATTAGCACTGTAAGTTTCAGTAACCTTAAGTCAGCAACCTAAACAGCCTTGACTAAGCAGGATCAGGACTCATTAGTACTTGGATGGGAGAAATACCCCATTTGTAGGCAATGGCAAAAGTATTTCTGTATGGTTGCCAAGAAATCTACATGGCTGTGTCTATGAAAAGTTATCAGGAGTTGAGCATGACTCAAAGAAGATTTTACTGTTTATGCTGAACTATTCAATCTTTTTAGAAACATAATATTACCAGTTATCAATAATGGCGATACAGTATTTGATACAAACAACATAAACTGCATTTCAATAGTAAAGTTGGGCTGATCCCTGGTGACTTCCTGATGAGATTTTCTGATGTTCTCTGACCCTGCTTAACTTTTTCAAGATCAACCAAGGTCAGCTAGGGGTGTATCTGATTTGAAAATGTGAATTTAATACAAGTCTCAAGAATGTTGGCAAGACTGAAATTTCCCACTAGATATGTCTTAGATGCACACCCAATTACAAATACAAACCTTCTGACTTTCATCCTAGCATTAAATTGTGGATATTTATATACAAACTCTACTTTTGCATCCATACTTTATTAGATTAGTTACTTGTCTGTTTGTTTATCTATTTTGATTTATATAGGCCAGTGCTATATAAATATAGCTTTGGCTTTTAAGCATTAAAATTGTTTGGATTTCAAACAGGAGTGACCTGCAGGTGGCATTTTTCTACCACTCTCAATCAGTCCCTGCCAAATTCCCCCTAGACGGTGGTAGGTATTTTTTATTTTCTTCTGCAGGCTTTTGGTATGTCTGAACAGCAAAATAGTTTCTCAAATTTATAAAGATATAATGTAAGTTAAAGAACAGATCACTCTGACATCATTGTGTTTCAACCAATAAAAAGCTCATAAAGAACATAGCTATAAAAATCAGAACAAGCCTTTCTACAATTTACAAATGTAAAGAACAATCCAGTGGTCTAGATGAGGGTATGCCAGTGGCTATTTAATAGACTATAACTTCTACTCTGAAGGCAGAGGCAGAAGAAAAAAGGCATTATTCCTCTACGCCCAGGAAGGCCTTTGGACTTTTGGAAGCTCTCTTATCAGAATGTTCTGCATCATAAGAGAGAACTGCTTTCCCTGCAAACTTTTTCATGAGTCTTTCAAAACACTGACATATCTATTGAAATCTTTTTATGAAAGTCTAATTCTATAACCTCCCATATACAACAAAGTTGTCCTTTTTTCAAACATTACTGGTAATTGTCAGAAAGTTTTCTTCTCTACCTTGAGGGAAAGGCTGTCACTGGCAACTAGGAATTAGAACTTACTAGAGGCCAGTGCTATTTACAATATGGAACAGCACTGAGGAAAAGTTCATTTGACTGTTTTCCACTTTCCCATTCCAAACATATCATCAGCTTCTCCTCGGAACAGATCAACACAGATATCAATTATATCCAATCAGAAAAAATATTCTATTTTCACATTTAGAGACATTCTATGCTTGAGTCTACTAGCTCTTAATAAAGGAAAATCTAGAAAGAAAGTTTAAGAAATATTTTAAAAATTTGTGAAAGTGAAATAATAGACAACATGAACAGGAAAGTTTTAGTCACATCAAGAGTGTGGCATCAGTATTACAAGATAGCATGCTTGGATAATGGAGCCATTTTCTAATCAGTTTCACTTCCATTTGCATGTTCTTGGATAAGTTAATTTCCTGTATCTCCTTCTTGGCTGAAGCTGTGATAAATCAATGTCAGTTTCACAATGGATACTTAAATTGTTGTTTCATTTTTAATTTCCCATAAACCTGTTGAGAACAACAATATTTGCTGGAATGTAGATTTATTTTTAAATTCGTCTGTTTCCTCAGAGACAAAATTATGAAACTTCTGGTTAACAATATTCCCATTCTAGGCACAGTATTTTTAATATTGTTAAGAGGGAATTGGACTATGTAGTCCCTTACAATTCTATATTTTCATACTTCAGTTATACTGAAATAATTCCAGCAATGTTAAAAAAGAAAAAAAAATACTATATTTACAGTCAGCTCTGTTCTGCTGCTAAAATGAATTTAAGGAAACACTACCTCATTGAGACACAAAAATGCGGGACATGAGTCGACATCAATGGCACTTTCATCTTGGGTGTTGACTGTTGGAGCCATGGCATAAACAGGATCTTCTGGTTTCTCTGGTTCTGATCCAGATTCTGCTTCACCGTCCACTTCAGTATCGGCATCAGAGTCAACTTCAGACTCAATGGAAGTAGAATTGTTTTCCTCTTCAGTGTCATTCATTTTCCTTTCTGAAATTCTGCAAAATATCAACAATCCCAAAATTAAACTGTTGACACTTTGTCCAAAATAAATTAGAAATGGATACCTTCTCAGAAAGTTTTTCAGCAACAAAAAGGGTTTATTAAATAGTTGACACCTTATCCAAAATAAATTAGAAATGAAGAACCAAGATCAAAATAAACTAGAAATGAGACTGAGCATATGAATAAGAGGGAGAAGAGAGAGAGAGAGAGAAGATTGTGATAGGGACAAAAATGGTTGATCTGTGTACACAGATTCTGAATGGCTGTTTTTTAAGTTTTTTTTTTAATGAGATGCCTTAATTGTCATGCTGGCAAAATTAATCAAAACAAGAGAATTTTTATATTGAAATACTGAAGGTACACGACCTAGACTTTTATCAACATATTTCAATAGATATGTAAGTGTTTTGAAAGGCTCACAAAAACTTATCTACTTTTCACAGTTTCTAGAGCTAGATACTGACTTTAGAAACTGCACCACAATTAACAGAATTGATACTATCTCAAAAATCAACAGATACTTTCCAGTTGTCAAGGGTGTCAAGATAAAGTTTTGTACATTTACAACTTCCTGTATGTCGAAAATTGTACATAAGCTGCTTACTGAGGTTCAGAGCTCAACTGTCTAGTCAAGAAGATCAAAATCAGAGGGGCTATGAAGGTCTGAATAGTTTGAAGTGAAATCAAGTATGAGTTTGCAACTTTTCCAAATATATTTAAATTGAATTGCTACACCTCTAATTTATTTGCAGAGTATATCATATTAACTTAATATTAGAGGATACACTACAGCTATATTTTTCTTTTGTGAGGGACGCCATGTCTATGGGTCAGCAACATCTTTCAAGGCTACAAGGATAAGCTGGCCTCTAGTATTGTTTGGATTTTCATCAAGGGAATTTTGCTTTTCAGAGAGACTTACAGCAGCTGCATTTTCTTAGGAATTACAAAAAAAACCCTAAACAAAAAGGAAAGCATGCCTCCTACAGAAATCAAAGCATTATGTAATACTGCAAGCTGCATAAAGGTTATTGACAAATGGTAAATGAGAAGAGTACTGGAAGTAAAAGATAGTTACTAAGTAATACAAACAGCATATCAGTTGAATTATTGACAGTTTTAACGCCTTTGGAAAAGTCTTCAGCCAAAATATTTATTCCTCCCACATTACAAATGCCATCTGAGATCTCTCTAAAGCAAGTGTAAATTTTAGGTTGCCTGCTCAACTTTGATGGCCAACCTGTGATTTTCATACCACAGATACCACATTTTTATACCACAGCCTCATTCTGAGACTCACCTATAGGGTCACTGTGAGGAATATGCTGTACATCTAGTGGATAAAGTCATTCGTATTCACTCTACATTGAACTCCAGCCTTAAGGCAGAATCTGTTACGGGGGCTAAGTCTTGTACGGTTATCTGGGGGGAGTTTGAGCCCGTTGAACCTGAGGAAATGGACAGGGCCCTTGCAGCTACTAGTTCAGCCACTTGTGTATTAGATCTGTGTACCTCCTGGCTTGTTAAAGCTGCATGGGAGGTGACACATGATTGGGTCTGGGCAGTGGTTAATTCCTCGAGAGAGCAGGTGGTTCCTCAAGGGGCCATCACTAGACCCAACCAACCTGGACAGTTTTTGTCCAGTTTCTAACCTTCCCTTTTTAGGGAAGGTTGTGGAGAGAGTGGTCACATGGCAGCTTCAGAAGACCCTGGACGAAGCAGATTATCTGGACCCCTTTCAGTCAGGGTTCAAGCCAGGGTTTGGGACTGAGATGGCATTGATCACGCTCTTGGATGACCTCTGGCAGGAGCGGGATGGGGTAGTGCATCTATCCTTGCTCTTCTTGACCTCTCAACAGCTTTCCATACTATCAATCATGGTATCCTTCTGGACTGACTTTGGGAGTTGGGGGTGGGCAGCACTGTGTTGTGCTGGTTCTCCTCTTTCCTTTGGGCTCAGTTCCACTCGGTGTTGATGCAGGGGAAAGAGATCCAGCCCTCAGCCCTACTTTGTGGGGTGCCTCAGGGCTCGGTTCTCTTGCCTCTCCTGTTTAATGTCTGCACAAGGCCACTGGGTGAGGTGATCAGTCAGTTTGGGATGAGGTGTCATCAATATGCTGATGATACCCAGCTTTATATCTCCACCGCAGGCCCTCTGAGTAATGCCATGGATGTCCTGTCCCAGTGCCTGAGTGCTGTAGGGGTCTAGATGGGGCACAGTGGGCTTCGACTCAACCCAAGCAACAGCTCTGGGTACTTGGAGCTTCTAGATACAAGGCTTTTCCACCTTTAATTCTGGATGGGGTAGCACTGCCCAGACAGGCCTGGTACGCAATCTGGAGGTCCTCCTGGACTCACAGCTCCTGCTTGAAGAGTAGGTGGCAGCCGTGGCTAGGAGGGCCTTTGCACACCTCCGGGTGGTGCGCCAGTTGCATCCATCCTTGCTCAGTCACCCTCACCCTCATAACCTCTTGCTTGGACTACTGCAACACGCTCTACATGGGGCTGCCCTTGAAAAGCATTTGGAAGCTTCAAGTGGTATAGAATACAGCTGCATGGGTAGTAAATGGTGTCAGATATATGACATATAACACCACTACTGTGTCAGCTGCATTGGTTGCCAGTGTGTTTCTGGGTGCAATTCAAGGTGCTGGTTGTCACCTTTAAAGCCCTGCGGGTTACCTGAGGGACCATCTTTTCCCAATACTTTCTACCCATCCAATTCAGTCCAGCAGGTTGGGCACGCTGCAGGTCCCATCAGCCAAGGAATGTCAGCTGGCAGGGACCAGAAGACATGCCTTCTCTGCTATAGCCCCTGCCCTTTGGAACATCCTCCCTTCAGAGATTAGGATGGCCCTGACCCTGTTGGCCTTTTGTAAGGTTTTAAAGACCTGGTTGTGTGCTCGGGCTCAGGGCCCCAAATGTGTTAAGGGCCCTGTCTCTTGGCTATACTGATAATTATGATAATTTTCTCAGCTGCTGTATATATATATGTTTTTAATTGTTTTAATTATTTTAGAATTGTTTGCCACCCAGAGTTACTTGGTTGACATGGGCGGCTATAGATATTAAATAAATAAATAAATCAGATGACACAGGCAGCAATGGGCTGAAATATACCTGGATAACTGCAGAAGGACTGAACCCACCTGTACCGTATCTAGCATAGGCCTCTGCTTGCCTTCTCCATGGCCAAGTAGACTAAGAGGTGAACTCATATGCCACTCAAGAAGACCATCACTGGACACAACAACATATTCATTTGTTTTTATATTCTGCAACGGTCAATGCCCAGTCTAAATTTTTGTTCTTACTGCAAGTTTTCATTGGCTTCCAGTGAACTCTAGAAAAGCTGGAACTGGCCTCTACATGCACTGCCATAGTTAAAGAGGGGAAATGGCATACCCGGAAATACATCAACCAGATATTTGGAGATACATATGTTGATTATATACAGGCATACATCTCCACCCTGGGTTGGGGTGGTGATATTGTGAAAGTCCTGACCCAGTGCCTGCAGGATCTGGATAGGAAGATACAGACTAAAGTTGAATCCCAACAAGACTGAGCTACTATTTGTACAGAAACCATTTGGCACTCTGTCTTCTCCAGTGAGTCTGGATGGGGGTTCTTCTAGACTTACTCCTACAGCCCCATGTCAAGCCCCATATTGTTCAGAGCCAAATCAAAGAAGCAAAAATCAGGCAAGAATTGTATATGAATTAGTGATATTTATAAGAATGGAACTGAAATTAACATTGTGGAGTCCAGTGCTATAAAAATTAAGTAAGTAAGCAAATAAATAAGCAGATAAATATTCTAGTGGCCATGAAGGAAATAACTCTAAAATGTAACTGTAATTGTATTTGGCACTATGAGGTTAAGTGCAGTTTACAGCACTCTATAAAATGATTGTATGCATATTTATATCCAGCTGTTCTTCTATGGCAGGCAAAAATATCCAGTAGTATTTATTTTAAAAATTTCTGAGCTATCTTAAAGGGTAACATCTTCCCAAGGCAGCATACTAGAAAACAGAAAACCACATAATATAATACCATAATAATTCCATAAGAGCAATAAAACCAGTGATATAATCAAAGCAAACAGTTAAAATTGGACAGCCTGACATACAAAACAGTCCCAGTGGAATCTTCGTTCAGTTATATGCCAAGATAAATATGTGAAAGTCACAACCGCATGTCTGATTTTGCAGGAAAGCTCACAGTTAAGCCTCCAATCCTGATCTCACAGCAAGGCACTTTGGCATGAATGACACTTCTTCATGTAACAGGATCCAAACTGACTAGCGCTTAAAGGTGAGTTGCAGATGTTCAAAGAGAAATTTAAAAAAAAAATGTCTTAAAAGCTCTGTAATGGTTTTTCTAGTCTCACTTCAAGAGTAGACTATAATGATTTAGAAATGGAAGTCTGCACTATTTTCAAAAATAAACATCATTTGTTAAAATGTAAGTTGCTTTGCCCTGGAGTAAAGGGAGAACGGATCCTCACACCCTTATAGCCCCACTAAAATCCTTTCTGGATTATTGCTCACTAAAACCATAAATTTCCTTTTAATAAAAATCTACATGGGAACTTTTCTGTTTTAATGGTAGCACACACTTTTGTCTTTCTCTTTGAACTTTTTCTGAAAATACCACAGCAATTTATTTATTGGCACGTGTATGCGACCTCAATCCAGCAGAACTCTAATCAATTTACACCCCCTTATTACAGTAAATAATAAGAGCCAGTTTCATGTACAGCTAAAAACTGGGAGACCCTTCACTCTCTCTCAGCCCTAGGAAGAAATCAAGGGCAAACTAATTCTGAGAATGTTGCTAGGAAAACTGCAGAGCTTGTCCAAGCAGTCACCAGGAGTCAGAACTGATTCAAAGGCATCTAAAAACAATTTTTTAAAAAAAGTTATAATAGCAAACTTCAGTAAGGAATAACAATAACCAAAATTGCTGAGAA